AACGTACAACAGCATTGACTTCTGAAAAAAAAATAGCCATTAGCAGTGTTTGAGCCAGTCATTCAGGTAATCAAGATCAAATTCATTACAGTCCAGCATATTGAAGTAGCGCTTAATCATTTCTGTAATTAAGCTGATATTTTTACATGGTGTGATTAACCTAATCATTAATTTTAGACTTGTATGATGTGATAATAGAAATTATATGTGATTTGCCTTCTTAATTATGCACCTTCTTGGAGAAAACTAATAGCTGGACCAAAACAGAAATCTTTCTGTGGGAAACAATTTTGTGTGAATTGATTTTTAAAAAAGCCTTTTGCGGTAGAAAAGGTGTAGTTTTGCTGTTATTAATTCTGCATTTTTTTGTACTTTAAGATTCTGTTTGGTGACAAATTGAAGGGGAAAGAGGAACTCTTCATAAATTTATAGATTTTTTGTTTCCTCATTTATCTTTGCACTGTACGGATTTGGCCAAAAATGTTATTTTCGCTATATACTGTAATATATTGCTCAATATGCCCAACTAATTCTGTGTAGAGTATAAAGAGCAATTATTGAGGTTCAGGAAAAATAATACACACCGGTGTTACATCATGTTTCTAGAACAGTTGTTTAGTAGTCGTTTACCATGCAACATTCATTTTCTATTTGCATAGACGTTTTGGTGTGCTGACAAGCCTTTAATCATTTCCTGCGCACCACCCATCCGTTTCCTGCCCGCTGTATCCAATCCAGGGTAGCCTGTCCACGAGGAGAGCGTTTGTCTCTCCCCTGCCCACGACCCGAGTGGGGTTGTTGATTGTGAGGAGCTTGCGCGATGTTTTAAAGGTCGGCAACGGTAACATGTGAACGATGAAGAAACGGGGCCTTTAACTTCAAGAGATGGAGCGACGGTTCTTCTAAAATAACGCAGTGTTTTTCAGAACCCTCCCCTCCCTTCTTGTTTCTCGAAGGGCACAAACTGAAGAGGATAGAATCAATAATAGGTCCAGATGCGGCTTAGCAGGGTTCTCTCCTGCTGCTAAAGCTGTAATTCTCCAACTGTTCTAATAAGTTACCTGTTGCTGCAATGTCAATATTCAGTTACGTTGAGGGTGTGCAAGTCACTGTGTTGTGAGATTTGAGCATGTGGAGCTCATTTCAGTACAGTCCTTGAACAAGCATCCAAGTCAACCTACTTCCCGAGTTTCCCCCAGTAAGGATTCTGTGCCAAGAAGAGGATAAGTGCTCTCTTTGCCCATCTTGTCCCCACAGTTTTCCAACATACTGCTGGCTACAGCACAGTGGCACACCTGCACTGCACTGCAATAGGGCACCATGTATGTGTATGTGTCTTGTGTCTAGTCCCCTGGTGTTTAAAAGAAAGCCCTCATCCAGGAATGTCAGTGTTTCAATAGGAAAACATCTTATACCTGTATCATGTGGAAAGTGAGTTTGTCAGATATACTTACAGAATCTGCAGAGTTTATAGTTCAGTTTGTGATGAATGCCATGATAAATAAGGACTGACATTCTGTGAGGCTAGGCTGTCATTAAGTGTGGTAAGAATAAGATCTATGGAATGCTGTTGCAAGTGCTCTTTCGTATTTCTAAACTTCATTACTCTTTTTTGAATAGCATTATAAAATAAATCTCTTCTCCACACAGTTATGCAGTCTTAACAATAATTATTGAAGTATTATATTTTTAAGAGTGCCTCACGGGGTTCAGCCTTGCTTTCCTACATGTTCCAGAAGACCTGTCCTCTTTATCTCACACTCCTCAATTGTCATGAGGTCAAACCTTTGTACAGGTCATATTTTGCTTTAATGTTGTGGAAACTTTTTCCCTACTTTGTTTCCAAGCTAAAGTGCTATAAATCAAGCAGTTTCCTTTTAAATGGCTGAACAGTCATGTAGACCAAACTGAATCCTAAACTGACAGCACCCAGTCCTGTGGCAGTGCCTGATGTTGTTATGGTTTCTCTTAAGAAGCAAGACCATTGCCTGTAATATATGCTGGGGCGTATTTGTTTGTAATGTTTACTGCAGTCAGAAGTTAAGTAAGAAAGGAAATGGTAGGCCCTTTTAAATGAACAACCAAAGGTTAACATTTAGTGCATTGAAATACTCAGGAAAGAGAAACTTTGCCCTCAAATGATCTGTGTTGATAACCCAGTGGCTCAGAGGAACTCTTTAACAGTGATTTTACATGCCCCATC